GGGCGTTGGGGGCGGGGGGGGGGGTTTCTTGCTCCTTGTGGCTGCTTCTTGCTCCTTGTGGCCTGGGGCTGCTGGGAACAGTGGGTGGGGCTTGTTGCATGTGCCCGCCCCCTGGGCTCTTTACTGCCGGAGCTCCACTCCTGTCCACTCCTGCAGGAAATGACCCCTGTGTGGAAGTATGAGAACCTGAAGTTCCTTCTTGAAATCCATCAGGGGTGAATCATTACCCAAACAGGCACCTGGACTGGCAGATGCTGGGTGATCCCATTGTTTGATGGGGAAGAACCAGTTCAAAATGAAGGACAGATCTGTAACCCTTCAAATACCAGTGTAAGGAGCACAGTCAGCAGGTTACGACACTCTGAAAAGTCTAAATGGACTGGGACAATCTGGTTAGCCTGCCATTAACCCTTGGAAAAAAAACATGTCAACCCTGATGTGGGAGTTAATCAATAAAGTATTAAGCACTGCCAACACTTTATTACCAGTCAGCATAGATCCATGTAAAAGGGGCTTGTCAAACACATTTACCCATTTCACTGTCCAAGGAGGGTCTGAATTTAACAGGCAAAGCTGGTGGTATTCATGATGTAATAGAACCTGGAAACATATTTCAAATGGGCAGAGTGGTACTGAAAGCATTTCCTTTGCATACCATGTGGTTCGTTTTCTTTGCAGTTGATTCAGAGTAGGTTGAGAATTCAGTCCCTGTATTTGGGGGCTTCTACAGTAGCATCATTCAAGCTGCCATTTTCATGCGTTTTATAACAAAACAGCTGTTCTTGGAAATGGTTGATGGACTGGAGAGAGAGAGAGATTCCCCCAACCCAGCAAGCTGCCATGATGTTCTTCATAGAGTCTCACTCTGACTAAATGTCCTCCTTTCAAAAAGTGGGATCAAATTGAAGGTAGGAGAGTTGAAGTCCACAGGACAGCCTAAAATGGTGGGGAGAAGAGCATATTAGGGAAAAAAGAAAGATTGACTGAATCTTTCTTTTTGAATTGTCAGTGTAAAAAGAAAGATTGACTGAATCTTTCTTTTTGAATTGCCAGTGTTGTTTTTTTTTTTAATTTGAAATCTCTTTATTTGTAAGCAGAAAGAATTTGCCTGGCCAGGAAGAAAATGGGAAGCTTCCATTCTCAGGAGGCTCTTCCTTCGTGGTCTCCAGTTGGTTGCTTAGTAGATCAACCCTTCATTTTTGTCTCTCGGCTTTTTCATCTTCTCAAAGTTCTTCAGGACGCCATCATAGACCACAGCACAAATGTACTGCAGTTCATTGACCATGAATTGGATTTCAGCATACTCCGCCTCGTCAATTTCATGCACCAGGTGCCAGAAGTCACCCACAAGTAGACTCTTGGCTGCTTTGGACACTGCATTGCCCCTTTCAGAATAATACTCGGAAATGTGAGTTTGGAATCCTTCCAGCTTTGTTTGAGCTGAAGTCAGTGACTCATGCACTTTTACCTGGGCTGCCACCCCCAAATTATTGCCCTCTTCAATCCACGGAACCTGGAGCTGCAGCCACAGAGAGATCACATTCATCTTCTCCTTGGTGTCCTGGATCTCCAGCTTGATGTAGTTCAGGAGGGCCACAATCTCGTGGGCTACAGGGCTGTGGGAGAGTGCTTTATCCTCATCATCTGATTCCTTGGTATCCTTCTCTTTCTTCCCATCATCTTCCTTTTCCTTCTAGCATTCCTCATCCTTCTTGGGGTCAGGCACAGGGATATCCAGCTCAGCATGGAGAGAAATGAGTTCTGAGACATTCAGTTCAGGGTCCTTCAAAAAATTATTTAGCTCCACAATCTTTTCTGGGAAATGCTGGGCAACAAGTTCTTCAGCCTGAGTACAGAGGTTCTTTTTGAAGGATTCCACCTGCACTTCACACTTGGGGGAGATTTGCAAAGTGTTGGCCGTAATCCCAGCTGGGCACATTGCCCCTCCCGGGTTGCAGTGCAGGCAAGCCAAACCCTGAAAGCTTGAGCAGCAGGGGGCAAAGTGGCTTCAGGAAGTGGGGAGAAGCTGGCCCATCACACCTCAAATCAAAAATCTGCCAGTGTGTTTTTGTAATGTGCAAGGATATGTTTAAAAATATGGGGCAACAGTCTGATTTGTAGTTACCCGTTTGCAGCCTGAAGTGGAGCAGAGGTCCATCAGTGGCTATTAGCCACAAGGTATAGATAGGGACTCTGGGGCAAGTGGTGCTCTGTCATCTTGGTGTTTGGGGGGTGGGGTGGTCAACAGTGGGAGGGCTTCTAATGTCCTGGCCCCACTGGTGGACCTCCTGATGGCACTGGTATTTCTGGCCACTGTGTGATACAGAGTGTTGGACTGGATGGGCCTTTGGCCTGATCCAACACCAGCATCTCTTATGTTCTTATGTTCTTAAGTGGTACCACCCAGAAAAGGGGCCACAATGTCAGCCTGCAGGATATATAAACTGGCTTCCAGTCTTTGAACACCAAGAATCCCCAAGGCAGAGAAAGCGTTATGGCAATAAGCCGCATGATTTATATCTGCAGCAGGGAAGCCTTTTAGTGGTCACTGCAGATGAGACCTGCTAAAAAGCTCTGCTCTCTTGAAGCCGCCCTCCTTCCTCCTCTGCTCCTTCCACCCCATTAGCTAGATATTAACCTCTCTTTTACAGCTGGCTCCTTCCTCTAGCAAGAGCGGAGTTCAGAGGTCAAGCTCACCAGCATCTAAGGAAAAGGCAGCTGCCTCCGTGGCTGATTTTTATTTTAGTACCCAACGGGCTGCATGGATGGATTTTCACAGCTGTGTGAACCGTTTCCCACAGCCTGCGAAAAACAATCTGGGGGCCATTTGGTGCAAAGCAACATTTGCAGGCCAGGCTCCAAGGCTCACTTTCACAAGCCCACCTGTAGACAAGGCCATTGTGCAGAATCCGGGGCTAGTGCTTTTCAAGCTGCCAGCGTGGGTGGGTGAGACTGATTTTGTAAAAAGTGCACCTGTGTTTTTTCTTTCTTGTTCTCTCTTGTAAGGATGTTTGGGGAGAAACTGCAATTCAGAGTTGCTCTTTTGTTATTTTAAAACCTTGGATTCTTTAATCTTGGAGTTAAATCTAGTTGTATTCGTTAATCAATCTAATTGTCATGTCCTTTGATTTTGGAGAGAAGCATATTTCAGAGTGTCACTTCCTGTAGCCAACTGGAATGAAATTCTTTGGAGGGATGTACCTTTGGAGGGATGGCCTGGATGAATCACAAGCGGGAATTAAGATTGCTGGGGAAAAGATCAACAACCTCAGATATGCAGATGATACCACTCTAATGGCTGAAAGTGAAAAGGATCTAAAGAGCCTCTTGCTCAGAGTAAAAGAGGAGAGCGCAAAAGTGGGCTTGAAGCTCAACATCAAAAAAACTAAGATCATGGCATCCGGCCCCATCACTCCTTGGCAAATAGAAGGGGAAGTCGTGGAAGTAGTGACAGACTTCACGTTCCTGGGATCCCAGATCACCACAGACTGTGACTGCAGCCATGAAATGTATTTCTTTACAAAAGCAGTGCATACTGAACTTCCTGTGCTTTAACTGGCCTGTTTCCCGTACTAGAAATCATCTGGGCCTGGGAGGAAAATACTGGAAGTGATAAAGGATGTTGTAGGATGGGGCAGGGTTTAGCTCCCTTGACCCTACTGTTGTTCCAGAATAAGTACCCATCCCCAACTTTCTTTACTTATGAACTCATTGCTTGACCCCCCCCCCCGCTAAGGCTAATAAGCTGCAGGGCAGCAGGCTTTCGCATTGGGGACCCAGTACACCTGCCTTGAGAACATTTGCGACTTTAAGAATGGTGAGGCTCAGGATGAATCTTGATTATTGAAATTCTGACTGCAAGTCCCTGCTATCCAACACATAGAAGAACAGAAGGGAAAAAAGTTAGGCTGAACTTTTCTCCATGACATGCTAGTTTTCCATGTATACATTCAAACATGCTCCTTCTTCCCATCTGTAGCCTGAAATCTGACCGTTCCTAAAAAGCTTTACTTCTTGTCTCCACAAAACAAACTGATCCAAACCCATTCACTTCTCAAGAATGCCCAGTGTTTTTGTTTAATGTCAAAAACTGGAGGATTACCTTTTCTATGAAACCTCCATCCCTTCTCAACCATTTAGGATCCATGTGCATTTTATGCACAGAGGAGGATCAGGATCAGACCAGCTTTTTCTGCAGCTTCTATGCACTTGTTGGCTATGTATTTGCCAAGGTGTTGCAGGGAGCAAAAAGCTGGGTCCAAGGTCAAGCATATAACCTGTGCACAATCAGACTCTGAAGAACTGATAAATGGGAGGAGGTCAGGGTTGAGATAGTAGTCATGATCCTCCTTTCCCCCTCTATTTTTCCCCTCTGTGGAATTTAGAACTATAAAAAGGGCTTTTGGTACTTAAACCCTTATTCCTCATCCCTGACTGAATGTCAGCTATGCTGCCATGGGGGTTGGGATGCTCAGTCATAGTCTGTATAAATTGCTTTTGCATTCCTGTCTATGCTTTGTGCCAGAACGCTTATCTATAACGATGTGCAGGTGGGAGTGTGTGTTGCCTGCCTTTCCAGGCAGCCGTGGGAACCGGACAGTTCTTAGCTTCGCCTAGAAACAGTTTGCTGGCTTTAGCCCGCGCGCGGGAGGGTGCCTAATTGGCCAGCGCAGTGTGTGGGGGGTGTATACAAATGCCCTTATTATGTCCAAGGGACAACTGCCATTCTTAACAGTGACTATGTTAATGCATCTATAGCTCTTCAATAAAAGTATAACCTTTCTTGAAAGCGTGTACTCCGTTGTTGGCTGTGGGTTCTGACACTGAAATGTAGTCTAAATGTGTGATAATGCTCACATTTATCCCGTTGTGTATTCTGCTTCAGCCAGCATGGTGTAGTGGTTAAGAGCTCTGGACTCATAAGCCAGAGAACTGGGTTTGATTCCCCATTCCTCCTCCACATGAAGCCTGCTGGGTGACCTTGGGCCAGTTGCAGTTTTCTCAGAACTCTCTCAGCCCCACCTACCTCATGAGGTGCCTGTTGTGGGGAGAGGAAGGGAAGGCAACTGTAAGCTGCTTTGAGACTCCTTGAGGTACAGAAAAGCAGGGTATAAAAACCAGCTCTTCTTCTTCACTGATGAATCTAGACTATAATCACAGGGCAGGGACATTTTTGCTTAGGTTACTCTGTAAATTGCCTCACACACCACTGATAGCAATGTTGTTGTTGTTATTATTATTCTTTTTAATACACCATTCTTTCACCTCCGGGGCTGTCAAAACAGATGTTAATTTTCCCCTAGGTCTTAGAGGCAAAGTGGCAAACTTCAGGCCGCAACCATTTCAAAGTGGAACGGATTGTCTTTTATCACTCCCCACAGAGACAAGGCAAGAAAAAGCTGTTTGCCTCAGCAAAAGGCTTTGAGCTGCATCTGAGCCCCTTTATGTCCAAGCAGGAGAGAATTCTAATGATTATTGACCCTCCTCTGAAGGAAGGCTGCATTATAATATCTCCCAATCAATTGAATCAAGAGCCAGGCGGTGGGGGGGAAAGGCCAGGCCTTGGCAAACTGCAGAAAATTGCATTTTGCTCTGGCCTCTTAAAAAGTTTGCGGAGCGTCTATTAGTGGTCCCCAAAGCCTTTTCCTTCTAATTGCCATGTCTGACAATGCGATCACCCTGGGACTGGTGGAAAGGCAGATAATGGACCCTCTCTAATTGCTTCCCAGTTCTCTGAGTCATCCAACACTTTGGAGATGGCAAAGGGGAAGCACTGCCGTTTTTGACAGAAGGAGGTAACCAGCTTTTAAGAAAGCTCCGTAGGAACAAATGCAAAATTCAAAGCCGAGCTTTCTGAGGGAATTGGCGGCTCTGAGATACAGAACCTTCCTATTGTCTTTTAGGGGTGCTTTTGGCCTGAATCATCCTGGGAAGTTTTAATCGCAGTCTTAGAGGGAGATGGAGCCGTCCTTCTGCTGACAAGAATGAGGAGCGGCTTTCACAAAACAAAAGATGAGGGGGAAAGTGAGTGAGGTCTTGAGCAAGCAGTGGGGATGGGGGGCACGTAGCTGAGAGCCCCAGATGGCCATAGGGTTGCCAGCCTCCAGGTGGGGCCTGGGGATCTCCCGCTTTTACCACTGATCCCCAGCCAACAGAGATCAGCTCCCCTGGAGAAAATGGCTGTTTTGAAGGGTGGACTCTATGGCATTGTACTATGCTGAGGCCCCTCCCCTCCCCAAACCCCGCCCTCTCCTGGCTCCACCCCCAAAGTCTCCAGGTATTTTCCAACCCAGACTTGGCAACCCTAGATGGCCAGCAACTCGTGTTGCCAACTCTGGACTGGGAAATTCCCAGAGATTTGGGGGTGTAGGATTTGGCGGGATCTGGGGAATGGAGGGACCTCAGCAGGGTATCATATTGTAGGTTCCATGCTCCATGTCAGCCATTTTCTCCTGGGGAACTGATGGCTGTAGTCTGGGTAAGTTGTAATTCTGGGAGATCTCCAGCCCCCACCTGGAGGTTGGCAGCCCTAGCAGTAGCTGGTAGGGCTTGCTGAACAAGAATGGGCATCAGCATGAGTGGCGGATGAAATATCATCTGTTTTCCCACTGACAGCCCCCCATGACAGCATACATTAGTTGAACAGTAATTGGTGGAATGCTTTAGCTGTGTTTGAACAAAGGTCTAAACAGCCGTATTGGTCTGCACAAAATTCAACAGTAATAATCAGATCAATGTAATGCCTTCTGTATTGCAACCGAATTAGCACTTTTCTGTCCAAATTTCTCACCAGCTGTTGGGGCTCCCAAATACTTTGCCTTATTTTATGATGTTGTGGTGGAATGTTCCTGCTCTGGCCTGCAGGTCCTATTCCACCCAGCCCTCCCAGGTGTTTCTCAGCCCCTGGAGGGGCTTTTCTTCCACTCTTGGGTAGCCTGC